CATCTACAAGCTTTGCAAGTGGGAAAACCTGAAAAATCAACAGTGTGTCAAATACTTGATCTCCCCACTGTACGTTAAATCTGATAAATCGCATGATGTCATTAATTTTTTCCTACTTAAATGTAAAATCAGATTTTGTTTCCTTACAAAACAAGTTAATCATCCAGATTACCGCTGATGATTTATGTCCCTTCCTTGTTTTTATGTAGCGTCATCCTCTCACGCTGTCGCTTCCTCTTCTTTATTTTCCTTTTTTTCAGACCGTAACCGAGTTTAATCTGAGGTTCATAAACTACGAGTTGAAGTCACCAAAGTGTCATGAACTGGTTCTGGTTGCGCCGCCTCACGATCGCATCAGTTTCAACTTCCGCTGTGAGCAGGAGGCCCAGGAGTGGGCCACGGTGGTCCTATCAGCACTGAAAGAAGCACACCGCGGTCAGCCAACTTTCTCCCATTTTCTGTGACTATAACCAAGTTTCACTCTATAAATTGGCCTCAGAGACTTCCTAGTGTAATTCACGTTGTTTTTATTTACATAAAATTGTGATTAAATTAAATTGAATGTATTTTTAAATAGATTTGTTGTGATTATACTTGGTTTAAAGCTGTTTTTAAATGTCGAGGCAGAGTCCAGGTTGTTCCAACGGTCTTAAAAGAACCTGTTCTTCAATAGATTAAGTTTCTTTTTAATAATCCCTTTTAATTATGGAGTCTGATGCTGGCTTTCTAGTCTTCCTGTTGGCAAACTAAGACTTTACTATTTTAATTAGTTTAGAGGTGATGGTCTGGTTGTAAAATGAGCTCTGTGGCAGAACTGAAGCCTTCTGTTGATCTCATCTGAACACTTTCTACAAAATGTGACAAAATTTTAGAAATTTGAATGTTGCGATTTTGGCAGATTAATCAGTTGTGGTGAGATTTCTTATTCTTTTTAACTTAGTCAGATTAATGTATATTGAGCTGGAGTTTGATGTGGTAGTAGCTGAGAGTCATGTAATCCAACACATTTTACAAAATCATGATATTGTTCGTAACGTCAGATTTGGTCATAACTATAGGTCCTTCTCAAAAAATTAGCATATTGTGATAAAGTTCATTATTTTCTGTAATGTACTGATAAACATTAAACTTTCATATACTTTTAGATTCATTGCACACCAGCTGAAGTAGTTCAAGCCTTTTATTGTTTTAATATTGATGATTTTGGCAAAAAGTAAAGAAAAACCAAAAATCTCAATCTCAAAAAATTAGCATATCATGAAAAGGTTCTCTAAACGACTTATTAATGTAATCATCTGAATCAACAAATTAACTCTAAACACCTGCAAAAGATTCCTGAGGCTTGTAAAAACTCCCAGTCTGGTTCATTACTCAAAACCACAATCATGGGTCAGACTGCTGACCTGACTGCTGTCCAGAAGGCCATCACTGACATCCTCAAGCAAGAGGGTAAGATACAGAAAGACATTTCTGAACAAACAGGCTGTTCCCAGAGTGCTGTATCAAGGCACCTCAGTGGGAAGGAAAAAGTGTGGTAGAAAACGCTGCACAACAAGAAGAGTTGTCTGTCAGTGATGGTCT